AATAAACATATATTACGTAAAAAATAAACATTTCAAGCAGGTTAGTACAACAAATAAAAATAAATTAAAGTTAGTCAAAAAATTACTCAAACGTGAGTGCAGTGATCTAGTGAAAAAAAAAAAAAAAAGTAATTCCTTTCCCTTTGTATTTTAGGTAAAACGCAAGTAATTACTCAAACAAACAACTTCAATAAATCTACGTTATAAACACCAAGTCTTACGAAAATCATATCTTCTTATCGAAGTGCTAAAAGAGGAGAGAAGATTGTACCCAAACACCTGTACATATGGCTTGAAAGAAGAATTATAGTTGACAAAGTCAAATTTACTTTTCCATTGGACAAAATATACGAAGCATCAAACAGCAGTACAGCACGTGAAGGAGACTGATGAGCGTTAATATTCTTTAAAATCAAAGTTTTTATTAACAAAATTTTGTCAAAAATAAAACCCGCGTTTGTTTTCGACAAAAGTCATTAATAATGTGATTGAACGTGTCAAAAAATATTATAGCAATACCAGTCTTGAGAAAAAGCCACCTTAGGGATTCCAGACCTTTAAAATTTGAAATTTAGATACTACGTACTTTGGGTAAGGGCAGCAACTCGATTTCGAAGGTCTTGGGCATAAGTTGTAGGAGGACTTTTTCCTGTGAAAATTAAACTTGAAAAAAGAAATTTTTTTGCCACTTGGACGGAAATTCAAAAATCAGCGCGAATCTCTAAGTAAACTGTTGAATGAGTCATGGTAATAAATTAAAAGTTAATGTTGATTTTACAATTCATTAGTGGATAAAATTACCAAACATGAAAAATAATTAACTTAATTGCGAAAAAAAAATAATGAACAAGTGCTGAATATGCTATAGTATTAAGTGCATCTAAATATTAGGTATTAACAAGGCATGTGACTCCTTTCGTTAGTTCAAATTCGTTATTATTTTTACGGACAATTTTAATGCATAATCCTAGCCTAGCATACATTCATGTACAATGCAATATGTGATTTGTGCATGATTATTTTAAAATAACGAAAGGAGTGAAAATCAACTTGTTGATTTGCTAGAGCAGAATATTAATTTCTACTCCCTTAATCCAATGCATGAAAATAGTATATGATTTTTAGTTGGATCGGTCAATTTTAATTTTTTTTAAATATGAAAGAGTGTACTTATGCTCTATTTTAAATCTTACCAAATGAGTAATAATTATAGAGTAACTCTTGTGGATGCCTGTCATCGAGATCAGCGCTGTTGATGCCCAGTGGGTCCAATTTAGCAATATGATGACCACGTATCTGTTAATTTAAAGACCGTTTTTTTTTTTGTTTTTTTTTTTTTATCGGCCATAAACATTGTTTGGGTCTCACAGTTCCTTCAAGTCTCGATAGAACTTACTTAAAATTTAAGCTATTTTGTTCAGCCAAACTGTTATGCTTTAACTAACAATATGTTGTATTTGTAAATTGTATCATCACACTACTTACGTTTCAGAGTGAACTCGACTAAGTAAAGTGTTGGCTAACAAAATTTTTCGATGCATATTCTTCATAAAGTATTCGATTTAATTATTTTTGTTGAAATAATTGTCAGTTACATTTGACCACCTAACACCTCCCATGATACGTACAAAACAAATAAATAAAAACGACAAGGCAGAGTAAATAAAAAAGGTAAAAATAAACGCTGTTAATTACGAAACAATCGTAAAATCATGCTAAGCTGGATGTTAAATAGTAACAGAGGAAGAAAAGCGAAGAAGCACCTTAAAAATTATTGAAAATACGTGTCTTACCTTCATGCTTATTTTAATTTTCATTAAAGATAAAGTTGTACGTTTTTTGGAGGTAAAAAAAAAAAAAAAAAAAAATATCAATCCAAAACCATGTTCTTAAATAATAAAGTATAAGTGATGTAATTTACATAAATAAAATACTTACTAAAATTAGCTAGATTAATTTTTTTCTATTTGCAATTTTGTAAAAATAACTATTCAACTACTACTAAGAAAATTTTCAGTATCAGCTATCTTGTATAAATAAGAATGATTTCTGTATGTACAAAGCAATTACAACATTGAAAGTAAACAACATTTTTATCCAAGTCAGTAAAAGAGTCTGTGTGAATCTCAAAAATAGTGCGAGTGAAGGTGTGAAAGAGTTATTTTGATAAGCACATTCAGAAAATTACGCATGAAAAACAGTTAAATTGCACTACTTATGACTGAAGTAATGATGCTGACAAGTATGCAAGTAGATGATGGAGCGAGACATGATTAGTCGTAGTGTTTGAATAACGTCTGCACACCTTTACTGCTCTGGATAATTTTTAAATTGATCACCGATTTTGATGGCTCTGTATGAGAGAAATGACAAACACGATCGAAGCCTTACCAAGCATATATTGGCGCAGAACTTGTTCCGGAGACCCCTTGCGAGCCGCGTAATGTGTGTGTACCAAGTCGGTTTGCATGATACCCAATGGATCCAAATCGGCGACTAAGTGACCTCGAGCCTATGTGTCAAACGAAAAATGATGTCCCCCACAAGCAAAATTTCCACAAATCAATACAATTTTTATTCTTCTCAACCCAACGAGAACTAGAAATTCTCTACAATGCTTTTTAAATTTATTTTTGAATTTTTTCAACTTATTTTTTTGCAACGACTTCATTATTTAATCTAATAAATAAAAAAATAAGTGAGTGCAACGACAAATCTTATGAAATGCTCTGTCAACTTGATTTTTTTTTTTTTTCAAGTAACATGAAAATCACATGATTCTTCAATAAATGAACTATGAGGACATGTTTATATCTAATTTTTATAATTTCATGCAAAAACATCAAGTTATGAAGTTCCCGATTTGGTAAAACACATGAACATTGCGTAATTATTAAACTCATGCTGTTTTATTTATGGCAAAAAGTATAGAGTCAATAAGCACTTAAACTTAGGTTTAAAAAAAGCAATATATTTATCAACGTGCTTTTTAAATGATCAATTAACAGTATAACAGTGTAAAATCTGTCACCTTGACAATTAAAAAAAAGTTATAATGGAATAAACATCTAACAACAGATATTGACTACAATTTTATTACATCAATTGCTAAAAGAAAAAATACTTTTAAATATCAACAAACTAAAATTTAGTGGGAGGTGCTGAGAGTGGTACTGAGTTATTGTTAATATTTGATTTTAGCTCTGCGATAAAAGGCTGGAAAATTGTCTGGCATTTGTTAAATTATAATTGCTAATTGATTATTGTTGTCTGGCTGACAACGGCTGGGATTTTAGATTTATTAACAAGTCACAAGGTGTGTGTATTGACCCTATTTGAATTCAAATGTAAGCACGTAAGGCACTCACCAATGGTCATGGAATTGTAATTCATAATACAACTGCCTTTGTTATCAAGGCTTTCCAGTAATTTCTTACCTGATAAGAGCGAATGATAGCTTGTACTGCAAGATGGTCATCGATTATTTTCTCATTCACTGGAGCCTGACCAACTGCTGCACCTCCTAAAGGCATTAGAGCCCCAAGAGGGATTTGATTGTGGCTTGGGGCATGTGGTGGTGCCTGGTAAGCTAATCCAGGTGAAGCTCCAGCTGTGCTGCTACGGAAAAAGGAGTCCCACGACTAAAAGGTCATTAAGAAATTTATTCTACTTGCAGTTGGAAAAAAAAAAATCAATTTTTCTAAATACGTACGATATGGACACTATTCGGATCTTTGAGCCATGCATTGTACATGTCTTCAACATAAGAGCTGGTACTTCCATTGAGGAAAGGTTCAGCAGCAGCTGTGCTCTTGTATCTTACAGAGCGATCAGAAACTAATGCTCGACTGCTTCTACATATGGGGTCACTTTTCACCAGCCACGATGCGAATTTTTTTGCCCCACAGACCCTAGGGGTCAATGGGGTGAGGGAATTAAATATTACTCGTGCCTTATACATTTTAACCTGTCGACAAAAAAGAAAAAAAACGTTTACCGCTTTGACTCAAATCTGAGTGTATAAAAAATTTTTTTAAATTATGCCTCTTGGAGTAGATTAATATTTGAGAGACACTTGAATCAGTGACGTCTGTTTGAAAAATAATCTTTTGAACGCTCTGGATATATTTAAATAAAATTTCAGCGAGTCAGTCTTATCAGAGGTAGACAATACTCATTACTTCATGTCATTTTAATCGCCCAGACTTTGAGAATGTTGGTAATCTACCAAGTTGTTTGAAAAGCCATTTAGTCGAAAAAAATATCAAACGTAAATAACGACCTTTAAACACCACATTTCACATATGATGATACTAAAATAAACAAAACAAAAATTCAATTGTCAATCAAACCAATTTCTTCCGGGCTTTTTTCGCAGTATTATGCAAAGTTGTGTAACAGAGGTAAGTTTTTAAAATAAACATATGTTGTGCGTCAACCGGGTCATCATTTAAAAAATGCACCAACGCAACAAGTCACGACGGGGACAGGAGGATAAAAAAAAACAAACGCTGTATACAGGTATGCAGTATTTTATCGTATGCATATACAACCTTGAGGATTGCGCGCGAAAGCACACAGAGGAAATTCAGAGAGTTAATCTCTTATCATTTCTAAACAGGAAAAAATAAATCAATTGAGCATACAAAATAAGAACGGCGGAGGCGGCAGCTGTGACGTGTCTCACGACGATTTGCCGGTATATTTTGAGAGGGGACCAGCAGACGGCCGCAAAGCAAAGCATTCGCTATAGTGCGAACTGGAAAAGAGCAGAAATAACGTAGCCGATTTATATATATATATGGAGATTCCGGTGCCGATTTGAGCCCTAACTAAAGAAATGTCAATGTCACGCGGTCTCTTTAGTGCCGTTCCCGCGTCTTTCGACGTGGGTGAAGGTGCACGCGCTCCCCGATGTTTCTCGAGTCTAATACATATAATAGAAGTACCTATACATCTACATGTTAGAAGCAAGGGAATAGGATGCACGCGGCCAAAACGACGGGATAAGGAAGAGGAAAGAAAAGAGCGCGACCGAGAGCAAGACCGAAATGTTTAACAGGTGTATATAAGTAATATCGCATCCGCAGCACCAGCAATTTCGTAGCGTGCTCCGAAAACGAAGTACTTGTGTTTATAGGTGCATAAAGTCTATTATATAGGTATGCACATCGAAAATACCTGAACTGTGCGTATATAGCAAGGCGGGGAGAGCACGAAAGAGAAAAAGTGTTACACAATCCGTGTTCTTTATATAGGTGTGACGAAATATGAGTCAGGGCAAGTGAAATAAGATGAGCCACGAGTGGAGCGAGGAGGAAATGAAAGATAGGGACCTATAGGGAAGACACTCGCTAAGGCAAAAAATATATAGGTTATTGCCCTACATAAAAGGAGCAGCAGACACACTCACACGCGCTTCCTTATGCGTGCGTGCATGTGTCAATGTCGACCCGCGCCAACCCCCTTTTCTGAACCACCCGCATGGGAAGGGCACTTTGTACGTGAAATCCTAGCTATACGTCTAGGCACAATGTTCTCCACTCCCCACCTGTTAGATAGGACGATCTTATTTCGGAGCGATATGAGAAAGAGGCTCTCCCTCTCTCGACTGCGCACTTGGCCTAGTTGCAAATTTTTTACGTAACTTTTTATACGTTATTATATACGTACAACTCGAACTGCTTTCACCAAATTCACAAGCTTGAATACATTTTGACACACGCACCGCAGTTTTTAGGATAACTCGTGACTGTGATGTGACAACGAGGAGGAGGTGGGTGTTTGAAAAGTTGCAGGTATAAGGATAAAGTACCACAGGAGGGAGAGAGGAGAAAGAGAAACGAGGTCGAGGCTTTGCCCGCGTATATACCTGCCTGATGTTAGCGAAACCTCGGTGGCGATGACAGGCCGTCCACCATTTGCAGCGCGCAACGAGCGACTTCGGTCTGCTTCGGTTCGGCGACTGCGTGCTTTACGAGACCACCGCGCGCGCGAGCACGAGTTTCTTGCCAGGTTGGACTGTTGGAGAGGGCGACAGTGAGAAGGAGAGGGGGGGGTCATGGAATGCACGCCCGGGAATATTTCATTTGCCGTCACGCGCCATCGTCCGCTTGGTTTTTTTGAACTTCTCCATAGCTGCGATGTGTCTATTTCTTTGAGCACTTTTTTACATTGCATATATATATATACTTTTTTTTATTGGCTAATGGATCGGTCGGTCGTTGTTTTTTTATCGTTTTTCTACTTTATCGGCAACCCCCATATCATGCACGTATAGAAATCGTTATAATTTGAAAATAAAATAATGCAACATGATATTTTTTGTATTCCTATGCTACTGGGTAAGTAATTATTTATTCCGTCTTTCTGAGATTCTCTATTTTAAACATTCAACAGACGAACAAACAGATATATGTTATACGTTATCTTGAACCTCGATAAAAACAAAAAAAAAAAAAAAATAACAAAAGCAGCTACGAAACGCGCGTAACGATAAATTAGACTTTGAAGGTGCTTTTATTTTTATCGCCAGCTGTATAAAAAAATTCAAGGTGAAACGTTACTCTTTTGCAATTTGTTCAATAAAGGTAAGTATTTACATCGATGTATACGTACACTCTGCACGTAATAATAATAACAATGGCGCGCCAGAGATAAATATAAAAATACAGTAAAATCATTTCCCAGTTTGCATGACTTCGAATAAATGTTGTCGTCGTATAATATGTAATAAAACGCAGCGTTGGAAAAACCACCCGAGTAATTGTGCCAACAACTGGGTTGTTGTTGTTGTTTTTTTTTAAAATGTTATTCCTCATTTTGTACTTATTTCCGCTAGAACGAACACAAAAACAAAACGAGCGCAAAATGTTATTCCTTTTCGCACCCAACTTCATGTCCCCACAGTGATTTTTTAGGTCATAACTAACTTACCGTGAAAAAAAAAATTTATCCTCTACCCTCACCGCGTATTCCTTGAAATGTAGTTTGAAGCGTCCAGTATATCACTAACACACAAAAACTAAACATTTTAGCTTCGGACAAAATTATGAAGTACTCATCGTAGCGCCTACGAATTCCCCAAAAACAAGCATGGAACCGCAAAATACCTCGAGTAAAACTGTACCCGCGTCGACAGGTAAAAATATATTTGAACACTCGCCAAAAACGCGCACCCGTTTGATTCTAATATAACAAAAAAATATATCCAAAATTTAAGCGATCAACCGACCCGACCCCGATCAGAACCTCGAAAACCGACAGCTGGAAATAAGATTCCGGGAATCGCCGACCTGCATCAGCGAACCGAAGCTTCAGATACAAGGTGAGAGCTCGATACCCTTATTTTCCAAGGTAACGTGATTATTGGTTGATTTATTTATTTACACACACATGTGTGCTGTTGCAGAAATGGTCGAAAACATCAGGTTAGCCGAGACGAATTACAACTCGGTGCAGAGACTCTGCCACGTGAAGGCCTCGAATTTCCTGGACGACGAGAACAGCAGCAGTACGGCTCCATCGAGGAAATCCAGCAGTTCTCTCGGCTGCAGCTCGGACTCAAAGTACGATCGCGAGATGCAGCCGACGAACAATTTCCGGAGGAACGAGCGAGAAGCCAACAATAACAACACCAACAGCGATTCAAACCTCGACGACGACGACGACGACGAGGACGAGGACGAGGACGATAACAAAGGGGTGCAAATTATGGTGACGCCGAGGTCGCAGATTGTGAGGGAGCCGGTGGCTGTGGTGACGCCGCGGCTGGAAAAGAGCGCTGAGAGTGTCAAGAAGCGCCTGAAGAAGACCATCAAGCCAAAGAAGAAGCCCGCACCGATGAAGAAACCGGCCGAAGACTTGGCCAGGCAGACTCGGATATACACTGCCAAGGCCAAACGGAAGAAACTGCACGGCCGGCTGAGGAACTCCAACTCCAAGAGCACCGTCATCACGAGAGACACGATTATGACAGACGCCAGAGGACTCAGGATGAGAAAGACCAAGCGGCAGAAAAGTAATTCACAGCTACATATCATGACTCGTATAGTATACAAAGTGCAACTCACCATAAATACCTCTCTCGTGTACCCACGCAAACAATCGGCTTTAATGAACACCAAAAAGCATCTCAAGATTATTTTTGTACTTGTAGGTATCGATGCCCTGTCGGTGGTGTACAATCACACGCAGCAGCAGCAGCAGCAGCAGCAGCAACAGCAGAGCCGCAAGCGAGGAGGAGGTCATCAGGTAAAAACGCGCGAGCCTAACAAGAAGCGATCGGACCCGAAGGACTTCATCGAGATCTTCAACAACAGCAGAGCCCTGAAGAGCGGGAGCTTGTCGGCCGTGTCTAGCCGGCCCTCGAAGATCGAGGCCTCGCATCAGGTATCTTACCTCAGCGAAGAGATAGCCCAGACGATCGGCGATGCGCGTAACAACTGGAGGAATAAGAAATTGTTCGCCCCTGCCGAAGACAATGCGACTGTGTAGGGGACAAATGTGTTTTTCGTTGTGTTTTTTTTTTTTTTTTTTTTTTTCGCGCTCCCGATCGCCTAATCATGATAAACACGCAGAGACGTCGAGTTTCGAGGAAAGAACGTCGATAACCCAGGCAAAAGTAGCAACGATCGGTACCAAGTGAACGAGGAGGGCCCGCGACAGTCGCTGTCGCAAGTATACTCGGCAGTGGCGAATAACCACCTTGTAGCCCCTCATCAAACGCCGCACTACGAGACGCCCACTTATGTCTCGGACAAAAAGCGGGTACCCAAGCCACTGTACCAGCGCTTCAGCATCCGCAGTATCCCCTTCGTCGTGGGAACGTCCTTGTCCCCGAGCCACAACCTCGGATTAAACATTCAGCAGGTAAACTCGTGCTGCTATTTGTCATTGGGAGAGCTGCGTTTAATCGGATGGTGGTTGAAAAAGGTGCTGGGCGTGATCAAAATGAAACAACCCGCGGTGCCGGGGATAAGTCCGGTGCTGATACGCAAAGTCAGCAAGGGCATGAGTCCGGTGTCGAGATTGTTCGAGGAGATAAACAGCGAGTTCGCGAGATCGTGCCGGGACTTTAACTTCCACGACAGCACGACCGGCTACTACGACCAGAGGACGAGCAACTTGGGCCTTGGTCGCGACATCAGCTCCTACTCGTGCGGACACCTCCAGTCCCCGATGGCCAATCAAATGGGCTTCAAGCAGAGCAACAACGTCACCTGTGAGCCGCTCTACGAGGAAGACGAGGTGCTGTTTTCGAGGAGTTTTGCCCTTCCTTGAGCATTTAATTATCATCCGATAACGTATGATCCTCAGGAGTTGCACTCGTCGAATTCAGAAACGTGCGTGGGGCACAATGGACACAAGGAGCAGATAGCGGCTTCGGATGCCGGAAAGTTGATGGATAACTTGCAGCAGCAGAGAAATCGCTCGTTGAGGCACCCGAGTAGGGTAAGCTGGGTATAATTTATACACACAGAGACGCAAAAAGATGTTGTAATTCTCGATCCCGGTGCGCGCAGGTGCAGAGCGTAGGCGATCACTCGTTTAGCCGCAACAACTACCCGAGAAACAACAAGGAAATGATGGAAGTGCTCAACAGGTTCCACGACCAGTTCCAAAAAATGATTACGTACGCCGCGATATATTCTACGTAGTACCGGAATACCGATATTCAACAAATCGACAATAACATATACGTGTACATTTACGTACAGGCAGCAAGAAAAGCTGAAGGAGCAGTTAGAAAAGCGGAAAGACAAGTCAGTGCTGAAAGAGGTGTTCGAGCTGGAGGAGGCCCTTAGAGCTAAGGAGAAAGAAATAAAGGCAGTCGTTGATCTCTACAAAGAGGTACTTATATATTTATCAATGTATTACTCGTTGCGCAACGGCGAATTGGATGAAAAAATGGGAAAAAAGCGCTAATGACATTTCCGCGAGACACACACGTAACGTCGTACGGATTAGCCGGTGTTACGTCGTCGCTCGTTTTTCTGTACAATACCGTAGTAGGAACGATCGATATTTATTCCTTTATGCTCGGCGATGCTTGTGCACTTTTATTTCCAACTTGTACGAACTTGTACGAGTTTGGCTTGGAATTTTTCGTTTCCAACCGTCATATAAAATATATATATATAGTCACCGATTGTCCCACGAAATAACTTCCACCCCGACCAGGTTATATCGCTGAAGCAGCAGATGAAGCTGCTACACGAGCGCAACAGTTTCGTGTGCATCGCGAGGCCGGAGGATTCACTTTTCCATCAGACCACGGGGACCATGAGGGCGCGAGCCCACACGGCCCTGCCCTTCGAGTCGTCGGCCGGAGCCCTTGCGGCGGCCAATCAGATCGGCTACTACGGGTCTTCGAGGACGAGGGGCTCAGGACTGTTCTGCGAGGCGACACCCCATTCGCTCCAGCTCACTGGGTTGCTCAGGCAGATCCAGGCCTTTCACAGGCAGCTGTCCCTCGCGTGAATCAATAGTGTTAGCGAGTTGTATCTTGTGTCGTCGTCGTCTTGTTCTTAAATTTATGCGTCTTTTTTGTCGTTGTCCCCTTTTTTGCGCTGATAATAAAAACGAAAAGTCAAGTGGGAGGATTCTTTTTTATTTAAATAACGTACATGATACATATTATTATCATCGAGATCGACTCATCAATAATTATTTATAATATGTATATACGTTATGTATGTGTGTGTAATATATACGCATTGTTTTATATACACATTCACTTAATTCTGACGTGCTACGTATAATATAATGCAAGTATATATATATATGTATGTATATCTTTTTCAAAGTCAAACAACTCTACCAGTTTATCGTCGCTATGCTATGATTTTTTTTCAGTTTAATTGATTTTCATTTTTTTTTTTTACACATTGTTTGAAGTATGGCTGTGTTTAAAAATATGCGCACTTGATTACGCATACATTTTTTTTATTGTTTATATGTATATATATGTATACAGCATAATCTCAAGGTTCGCTGCTCACTGTTTTCTACTTTTATTCTGATTCTTTTTTTTATTTTTTATTTATAAGTATTTATAAGAAATCTGTTACGGATGGCTCTACAGCACCTAATAGATATATTGTTTTTTTGTATGATTATTTAAACACAGTATCGTTAGCCTGCAATACATGTTTATTGGAGATGAGCAAACGATTAATAAGCCGGTTATTGTTTATCTTATTTTCATGTATGCAAGTATATTATTTTTACACTGACCAAACATCAGATTCAAACGCTTGAAACCTTGGGTTACACCTAGATAATATTTCCTTGTAACATGAAACATGTTCTGCTGCTGTTGTTTTTGTTTTGTCATCTTGTGATAAAGTAATCATCATTTGCCAAACTCCAGAATTCGTTTCTATTGCAAAGTTCTACAAAAAAACAAAAAAAAAAAAAAAGAAGAAAGAAAGAAAGAAAGAACAAGTTTGTCTTTCTGTTTTTCTTTTTATCGATTGTCTCGGTTCGCTTTACATTAGGCGTAGCAGCTGCAAAATTACTTTCAATAAGTACTCTACAAAACACAAGCTTAAATCTACGTGTAATACCGATATTTAAAAAAAAAATTTTTTTCACTCAAATATTGTTTTTTTTATTTTTTGTATACAAAATAATCATAACAGTACGATAGCTCATTTAGACGATCGATTTAAAACATTTTAATAATCAAAATATAAGAATTAATCTTTGCGAGGAATGCAATTCCTACATTTAAAGCTATACATTACTCCATGTCAATCACATTTTTTCCTTAAATCTGGTCATTCACAGACAAACATTCTTTCTCTCTCTTTTCTCTATCAAGTTCAATAATTCTTTTATATCACAGACTAAAAATGCTTTGGTCTACAAAAACCATTCCGTATAATTTTTTTATTGATTTATTTATTTTTTTTTTTTTTTTTCAATTCACGACACAAATCTCAGTTAAGCGTGGTTTTTTATTTTTTTTATGGGTCGTTTGCATTGTCAAACACATTCGGTGCTCAAGCCATAGAAAACGTTTTATTTTTTTAAGCCACAGTTACAAAATTTTTTGTTTAAAAAATTTTAGGAGATGAGTTATTAAAAAAAAAAAAAAAAAAAAAAAGGAAAGCTTATAAAACCATTTCTCCCGAACATACTCGATCAACATGCCTCGCATCTAGTATAATATATGTATACATAGCTAATGTACTCGGGTGTTGTAAATCAATTTTCTGTATTGCTTGTTCAACAATACTATATACAGTAATTGTCGGTTTTTAAGTACGTATATATATATAAAATCATGCGTTTCATAAAAACGTAAATGTATATAAATACACGTTAGCTATACGGTGTTGCTCATTGTCAAATTTTCAAAGTCTTAACAGTCAATAGTACGTTTAGACACTTTTAACATGCGATATTTGTTTTGGCTTTGTGGACAATACAGGCAATACGTGCGAGTATTTAAAAAAAAATGAAAATTTTTCAGTGTAATCGAATGATAACGCAGAAGTATATCGTACAATCGAAAGTATAAAATTTTTAATGATTGCTTTTGTAAAAAAAAGGAGTTTTTTGTTTTTTGTTAAAAAGAAAAAAAAAAATTCCAAAAACGCATCCAAAAAAGTCTCATCAGAAAATGTGGCATCGCGAACAGTTTATTTACCATTAAGATATAACATTTTATAACTTTGTTATTACGTAATTCACTTGTAAAAGTATAATTTCTATGCTACTCTCTTGTTTTAATTTTTTCTTTTCTTTTTGTTGAACAACGTGGGTGTTGATGGAGCAGCTCTCTATGTAAGTACCTCCAACTATAATTACAGGTCTTCTAAAAATTTTTTTTTAACTACTGTGCGCAACACGTTAACACCATAGAGTATTTGTAAGACTCAAGACTTTTAATAATTTATCGTTTAAATAGCAACTCATCGTAATTTAAACAGCTACAGGTACTTTTATGTCATCAACAAGCTCGACAAGGAAACAAAAAAAAAATTACGAAATTAATACAAACAATAGTTTTACACCCCACGCTCAAAGTGGTTGTCTGTAATCTGACAATCATAACGCAGTATACATGTATATGTATATATTGTGTATGCATATATGTATATGTACATGTAAAATCAAGGTACGTGTTCACTTATTAATAATAACTTAAACGCTCTGTCAGGCATTTTTCGCTAACAGGGCACTGATCAATCTAAGTTTGGCTTTCGTTTGTTTGTAAGAGTCGTAAATAGCGTGTACTTGTGGGCCGCGGTCTTCTCGTTGCATACGCCTACCTACGCGAACCTCGAACTGCATTTCCAATTCCTTCAAAGCTCTCCTCAAACGTTTCTTCTCCTCCTTGGTTACCCTTTGCTGTTGTAACAATTCGTCCCTGAAAATGCGACACGCGACATTCATCAGTCCCAAAACTCTTTGTAAACGTGATTAAAAATTCATCCAATGACTTACTTTGGAAGGGAATGAAGGCTTTCGACGACACCGCGACTGCCTTCGCTGCTGCTGTGCTGGCTGTCGCTGTCCGTCGGCACTTGATCCATGAAGTCGATGCAATCCAATATTCCTCTGTGAGACATGTCCGGTTCACTGGCTCGCCGATCGCAATCGATGGCCGAGGTAAAGTCCATGGCTTCGTGCTCCAAAATCGTCGCCAGCTCCGACATGCTGTCGTTATACCGATTCTGAAACCGAAAACCCACTCGATTGAAGTATATATTATAACGTTGTGAAAGAAGAAAAAAAAAAAAAAAAAAAAACTGGCATCAAGTATGATGTCCTTACAGCGCCTGCTCTGATGAGTAACCGCTTGAGAGTTCGGTACTTGTCGTACAGGGGTCGAACGATCGATCGGTCCTCTTTGGACACGGGCCTCCCGAAGGTGTTCTCGATGTGGAGGAGGGCCTTTTGCACGGCGGTCTTCTCGTCCAAGAGCTGTTCGTACGTGAGATCCTCCATGTTCTCCGACCTGTTGTACTTGATTCTTTTCTCCGACAGCTTGCGATCGACCTCCTTGACCATCTCGGCCATCGTCGTCGCCCGCAGCTTGTCCTCGCCGTTGTTGTTGTTGTTTGGACAGACGCCCTCGTCCCGACTCATTCTCGGGCTGCTCAGCAGTGTGCCGACAAAGCCCTCCTTCAGTATCTTGTGCTCCTTCCTAACTTTGCTCAACTCCGAGACAATCCGTTTGATGTCGCGGTTGCTCATTTTGTCGGAGTGGGTGGGCCGATAGCCAAAGTTGTCCTCGAATTCGCCCTCGTACTTTTTGATCTTTCTCTTGAGGCTGTTGATGTGCCTCATCATGCTCTTGAGGCCGTACTCCTTGGCGCTGCCGATATTCTCTTGGTCCTCGACTTCGTCTTCCTTGTTGTAGAACCTTCGAGGTATCAGTATGGAGTTTCGCGGGGAAACCATCGCCTCCAATCTCTCGTCCATTTCCTCGTCCTGAAAGACCACGAGGAAGACAATGATTCTCCATCCACGAGACAGAGGGAAAAATAAAGGGAATACACACGTTGCTCTGGCGTATCGGGAAGCTCCAGTTGGCGATGGTCGGATTGTTGGCGTCATCCAGCTCGAGCGAGGGAGGCCTGACCGGGGACGGCGACCGGCTGGGATCGCCGCTCAGCATCTCCAGGAAACTCTGGCCGCTCTTGTTAAAATCCGGCGCCAGGTTGAAAATTGACTCCGAATCGGTGATCTCGTTGCTTTCCTGCAAATTGTCGAATCAAATTGCGCGTCAGCCCAAGTTTTTCAACCAGCCGATCGAGAGAAACAAAAAATAAAAGGTACCCTGCTGCTGTTTTGCTCGAAGTTGACGCCCAGGTGTAATTTTTTCCTCCTCGCTTGGCGCCTGCCCCTGGGAGTGATGCTCCTGCTGAACCGCTCACTGTTCCTGAGCCTCTCGGCATCGCAGTCGTACTTTTCGGTCGCGAGCACGACGTCACCCGTCGAGTGCATCAGGGAAGCCCTGGACGAAGCCGGTGACACGTTGCTGGTCCTCTCGTGCAGAGGCTGACTACTGCCGAGACACTGTTTTATCATTGAATGAAAAAAAAAAAAAAAGAAAAGAGGACTCGTGGTTTACAAAGATTTTTCATGATACATCAATGAAATGTATGAATAGGTATAGGCTAACCGGTCCGTGTCCTCCCATGTCCTTTTGCAGCTTCGATAGAATATGATGGTGTTTGGCACTGTTGAAGTCCTCGTGGCTGCTGACCCGGCGGATCGTGTCCGCTGATTTTTCGGAACAACTTTCCCCAGCCACAATCTTCTCCTCGCTGTTGCTCCTGCGTACATTATAATATATGTGATACTTAGTAGACAAACGTATAATATTTATAAACGCGTTACGAATGATTTTTTCCTTCCCCCCAACAAAATCTTCGTTTCACAAGCCGGTTTACAGCTATGATATACTTATAACCAACCGTTTGATTGTTGTTGGGCATAAAAGAAAAGAAAAAAAAAAAAAAAAAAAAAAAAGAAAAAAAAAAGAATATGTTGTCCTTGGCGCAACTTTGGTGTATTGCTGTTGTTGCTCATAAATAACGCGCGTTAAAAGAAACGGCCTCCAGAGATAAACGAGCGTAAGGCCGACCGCGGTAATAAGCCGGAAAAATAAAAAATAAAAAAATTAGATACGGTACACGGCCGCGGGAAGACACACGCGCGCGCGACGATGGTGATTGTGTACCTGATGAGCTTTCTTTCCTGGCCGCAGGAATCACGTCGGTCCTTTCGTTTGGAGGGCTTGGAGAGGAGCAACGTAGCGCCCATCCCGAGGATACCCACTGCCGACGGGACCGAGGACTGATGGTGATGATGTTTGTTGTTGGCAGAGTCTCCTTGGTCCTTGGTGGCTTTGTCTTGGCTACCATTCAGCGTGGACTCTTTGACTCTTTGACTGAAACGAGACAACATCAGTTAAGAAATACCGATGATGGCCAAGCTCGGATTTTTCATGCATGTGGTTATATCGCCATAATTATACACTAGTTTAATGCAGTGATCGAGTGATTGTTTGTGGGGTATCGAGCACCCCAGCGAAACTCATGAAATCTCGTACGGGCCAATTTGGGAAAAAATTGTGATGCCAGTGCGCGTTTGAGAGAGATAGGTAGGTACACGTGTACGGAAATGTCCCACTTTTGAAACTCTGCTCACGGGGAAAAAAAAAAAAAAAAAACACGAGGAGCCAAGGACATCCTTTGCCGAACGACTGTGACGAGCTGTTGTTATGATCTATACGACGAAAAACTATAACGATCTCGTTTAGCCGGTCGATGTACTCGATTGGCGTGGCATTTAATATAATAAAGACACGTCATGTTCGAACATCGAGTACGTACGTCACGGTCCATTGAATTTCATCGCTTCACGCTCGTTTGGATTAATTGTCGATCTATCCGGTGGAGTGGATTTTATTTATGCATTTTAATGAAAAGTCATGCCAGACGTACAAATAAAAAAAAACAAATTCCGATTGCGTGCGATTCAACGCGAGATTGCACAGGCAGGAGGTCACAAAACCTGTTCTATTATGAAACTCTAGATCAAGCGTCAAACAAATGCAGGTGTCGTATATCGTTGCAACAGCGGTGTGCTATCTTTACATAAATAACTGAATGACCCGGCAACTAACGTAATACTCAGCTGTGTACGGATGCATATAATTATACTTGTGTTCACGTGCAGTGCATGTACATGTATATAAATGTATCTTTGAGTGTCAATAAGTTCAACCGAAGCTTCATGTACACACGCGTAAAAGTCATCAGTTTTAATACTCGGGGGCTGGAAAAGGATACCGATTTAGCAACTGAAAATTTGTATGTTCCATCAACACTAAGCCAAGCTAGTGCCAAAAGCTGTGTTACATGTAGGACCAAAGCGACAAGTGGATGAGCTATACGGGCGTTTTTACGAGTATAAGATCTCCAAAATTAATTTCCCTTTTTTTAGCGGCGCGCGATTTTGTTTTTTGGCTTATCCCGAGGATGAAATGTTTCGAGCGTAGTTCTGCAAAAGCCATACCAAAGTAACCAATTTTATTTTCATTCGCGTTGAAAAAAAAAAAAGAGACACCCGAGCATCAATAGGGTAGGTATAATTTTTGCGGAACCAGCACATGATACGTGAAAGCCCATGACTCACCGCATTCGAAGCAAAACGCACGGAGTAGGTATATACAGAAGAGAGGATGCAAGTGCGCGTTGTACTTGTGTGTATATGAATAAAAGTACAGCCGAGGAGGTGGCTTATTTATGTAAAACAATAGCGCTTCACGTGATCACAAAGACCGTAAGCTTTCGTTTCCAGAATCGGCCGATCGGCTCGCAGCACGCGATCCTCTCGTAGACCCGACGAAACATTTATTGACTGTCTCTCCCCCGCTGAAATATTTTTCGTGCCGACAAACTCTCGCTGCGGCCACCACACTCGTTTCGAGATGTCCGTTGTCGAGTCCAGGGAGTGGTTTCCCTGCTCGCTCGGGGATTTGCAACAACTCCGGAGCAAAATGTGTTGCGGGCGCGTCGAGTGTGCGGGTGTATATATGGCGAATATATAAAAACACCGGAGCGTCGATGCTCGCTGGCTGGTGTCTGGAAGGCGACTGTCGCGAGAACGCGTGTCAGCCGTGAGGTACAAGCGGCCGGCTAGTTTTGTTGTACTCGTATACTATACACACATGTAAGTATATACCTTACGTATGATATTGGAGTGGAGTGGATCGAACGGAGTTGTTGGTCTATACTTACCAGCAACGAAGAGAAAGAAGAAGAGTAGGGAAAGAGACAGCTACCTTATACAACTATAGTACACCGGTGTGTGTGTGTGTGTGTGTATGTGTGAGTGTGGAATCTATATTTTTCATCGTTTATTTATTTATTTTAAAGGCAATTTACAAGTACGAGTTTCATCGATATACCTGGGTGATGGATACCCCGGCAACAACATGCAAAAGTACGATTATGCGGGTGTGTACGGCTATTAGGTATTTCGAGAGTCATGTGTATACGAGAGACTTTGGTATTTGGTGGGAGTAGGTAGTAGCGTGTGATAGAACGACGATGGAATTTTCCATGAATGACGATGCTAAACGTATACAGCCGCATGGTGCGTAGGGATAACAACACGTGCTAAGGTCACTCTCATCGGTACTCCCTGCGATCGTGAATTATTTTAATTTAATTTTTTTTTTTATTGTTTCATTGTTTGTGCCCAGTTTATAAAAAAAGAGAAACTGGTTCCATCATCCCTTTGCTTGTGATTTACTACGTATACTTCTTTGTCCGTAAGCTCGAGGGGTAAAAGTTGTACGGGCGGAAATCGGTATGCCGATTTTTCTGTTTATATTCCTGTTGTATATTATACCGCCAAGGATTCGCATTTTTACCCCGATTTCTAACGCTGTATTATTTTCAATGAATGTGTACAAAATAATTGTTTAATTTCTAAATAAAAAAAAATTGTGTGCCCAGTTGTTGAATTACCGATTTCACGATTATTGCTGTATGTGTGTGTGTGTGCGGATGAAATTTTTACACTTTGGATTGAAAGCAGTTGGGTATAAACAGTTTAAAAAATTCAAGTGCTTGCTCAGACTTTGCGCAACGAAAAATGTCATCGAAGCTTGAGTGCGGGTATGGTCAAATGTTATTGTTATACCAATATTATTCGCCGACAGTGTTAAACATCAACGCCTAATATTCATTGTACTTGCATCAGCCGAAGTGTGTAGCAAACAGGTCATCATCATAATCATCATCATCGGACCACTTTTTCTTTTTTATCATCCTAGTATACGTGCGCGCGTGTGTGTGTAGTAGTAGTAGTAGGTGTACGGATGGTTGGTGGGGCAATGGAAAAATTTCGAGCCGAGTTCGGTATTCCCAAGGAAAGAGAAAAAATAATTTGCGCTCTATACAGCGCAGGACTTGATATGGAGCGATGTTGTTGCATAATACGCGTATATTTTTGAACGCGAGGCGCGTTGCGTTGTACTCGAACCAATAATTTAATAAAAATTGTTTATGATTTGCCTTCCGAGAAAAATCGATTCGACAAAATTACCTAGCGTTTATACATAATATATACTCGTTGTTTCGAACCAGACGACGGAAATTATCAATACCGCTGTGTTTACATCAAATGAGTTTGTATATTTTTGAAGTGAATTTTATTTCGTTTTTCATTAGATGGGTATTTTTATAGGATTAAAAAGTGTATTATTTCGTTAAACATAGTAGTGATGTTGTACATTTTGTGGGGTTGTCAGAAAAAAAATTACGTTTCCTAATCAAACAAAATACAACTTGAGGTGAATTTTTTTTCTAATTCGTTCCAATATAACCATTTCTTACAAAATTTCACATATAAGTACATGAATTATAATTAAAACAAAAGCGTAAAATTTTTCGTAAATTTACTCACTTGTTAAAACTTTATTTGTTGATTGTTTTTCTTTATAATTTCAAGACAAGCGTTTTGCTTTCCTTTTTTTTTATTACATATACCTTTCGTACTCTGAAACAATTCTCTGCTTTTTTTCTCTCTACTTTCTCTGTACAGTCGGTTTGCGATTCGCGCTCGGAAAAGTAGGGTATACGGAAAAATAAAGAGAAATCCTACGAAAAGCATGAAAAAAAAAAATTCTAGAAAATATATTTCACTTCCCCAGACAGCTGCCACAAATACGTCTCTCGAAAAACCCAACGGGGTAAACAATTGAATTTTCTCCTGCAGACTTTTTAAATGATCATAAAATATACACAAAATATGGAAACGAAGGTAAAACATAGAGTAAAATTAAAGTCCACAACTTTCATTCAAAGTAACAATCATTCAGGGATGATGCAAAAAAAAAAAAAAAAGATTTTTTACTTATTAACGCTAAAATTAATTTTTTTTATAGGATGCCTGACGTTTTGACTCATCCAAATTCAAGCATGACTATGTACTATGTTCAAAAAAAAAAAACTCAAACATAGGTATACATCGCGTCTCGTCACACGAAATTCGTCCAAATGCTATTCCCAGCGCATGAACAGCCGGGAAAGTTTCTACGCCGTAAATATATAATATACGAAACGGTGAATCCACAGGGACAAAATTAAACCTCGGTATGAAAAATTTTGGCAGATCGACAAAAACGTTACACGTAATAATTTTCCAGCAAGTACTTATTTTGCAAGTCAACGAGATCCCGTCGAGGGATGTAACAATAATACATAATATGTATAACTGATGATGAACAGCAAAAGCCGAAGAAGCGCGCGTGCATTGTATATCTCCAGCTAACCGGCCACGTGCCACGCGTCCTCGTGAGGACATAAGGCAGACTCCCAAGGGCCATTGTGTATGTATACGTGTACGTATGTGTACATGTAAGACGCGAAGGAGAGAAAGGAGGAAAGAAAAAAAAATAGAAAACCTGTTTTTGAAGATGGAAGGAAGGCTGGAACTGGGGACGAGGAACGGGTTTTCTTTTTTTGTATATATACGTACGTATACATACTTATAAATATACCCTCGGATACTTTGGAAAAAAGATGCATTTCGTAAGTAATAAATATATTAGAATTAATTATGTGTATGTATAGTGTCCAAAAACGATCAATTCGAGAAGCAAATAAGTTGGTGTATTGCACATCAGCAGTGCAAGTTGTATACACGTACAACAATTTTTATTGCGGTTTAAAAATATGTAATAAACTGCATGACGACCTCAGGTGCTGTTGTCACTAACTTTTGCGGTACACCCTTTTTTCTTTTTACTTTCCCTCCCGATTGATGGACGGTCGCGATCTAATAACGATTTTTGGAATAAATACATCACACATTGTTGATCTCGTATACATTTTATTTCTTGCGTGGAAATCGTGTTTATTTTCGAGATTTTAAGGGCTCTATCCTCCGGATTTAATGTTGTTGTTGTTGGCACATCAGACTTTCTTGTGGTGTAAGTTCTCTTTAATCGCAGTGAGAAAACAAACGATTCGAGGAACGAAAAGAAAAAAAAAAAAAAAAAACAGAATACATAGTACATGATAAAACGGAGAGTTTTTCGAGGGAGATGATAACATGAGCGAGACAAACTTATTTTTTGCGCGTATATAATAGCTTTAATTTATTGGTAGCCCGAGAAAAGGTCGCGATAAATGGAAAGAGATTAAAAGTAACGTGCTCGTCGACAACCGGTTAAAGCTGTCCTTCCGATTGTGGCGTCACGGAAAATTTCCGTACAGTCGGACGGTCGCTTTAATCGTGAGAGCTTCGTTCGAATACGCGTGATTTATTATTGTTGTTGCTGTTGTTCGTGAAATCCAATTGTTTTATCACTAGAGGCCGTGTTTACGCGCAGGGATCGACAAATAAACCGCGTTTTAATTCGACGAAACGTTGTTTTGTTATAACCGATCGTAATATGTATAAGTTGAGTAAACTACGAAGAGGGTAAAAATGGATTTTCGATGTACCCTACATACCGATCAGGGGGTGAGCCGAGCAACGTGTAATTAATCAATCATTTACCCAACGGTGGATCGAGAAAAAACATCAATCGGAGCTCGTCTATTTTTAGTCGAGTCAACAAAAAGAAAACCCATGTCGAGACAAGCGCCCTTTATGAATTAAAAACCATACGATTCGACCAGCGATAAAAGCGTCCGATGATGGAAAAAAAACTAGAGTACGTGTATACTCGAGGGAAAAAAAAAAGCTTTCAACGAGAAAGAGCTATTTTACTTTGTGAGTCAACGGCACCCATAAGGGAGGAAGAAAAAAACAAAAGGGCGCGTGCAAACATTCGCCCTCCCCCCCCTTCTTTTTTTGCTACGAATATGTGTGATTCGACTCTTACACGTAAAGTGGATGTAACTAACCGATCAAAACAAGTTAACTCGATTGATTGAGCGCGGATTTCCAACTGTAGGTGTATAGTTAACCACAGGGGGTTTTTCCCCTTGTATCTATAGTCGAGCGATTACTGTGTACATGTGTTGACGTAAAACAAATTTAGCTTGGATGCACACGCCCTTCGTTCCGTTTATTGGGTACCGATCCACCACAACGCAATATATACTAAATTATGTGCGACTTCGCGCATAAGTATACATGGGTGTGGAGACAAATGCGTATCACCCCGAAATACTCGAGAAAGGATTAACGCCAAAAAAAAGAAAAGAAAAGTTACACGCACGTACGTAGGTATGCTTATACGAGGGTGTAAAAATAGACGCGTGGGCGGCTCGCGGGGAGCGACGCAAAAACACGCATTGACCTCCAGGGGACGCGGGCGCGTCGTTTGAATTATTTACGTGCCTTTTTATTTTATTTTTTTTACTCACTTACAGTTGTATTTATAAAAGCGTGTACGATGAAAAAAACGCAGGCAAAGTCGAGGACCGAGAAAAAGAAAGAGAAATAAAGCGAGACATAATGGATAATATGACCGCGACGTCGCGGGTCACGCAAAGTCACGCGCCTCTGGTTGACAAACGTACGATTACACTCGGCCAGCAATTGACACACTGCATCCTTCTCCTGTAAATACACGGCATGATGATGTATACACGTACAACATGCATAAGCACCGATATCTAGACAATTACGATCGATTAAAGCACAAAAGCGCGTATACGTATATAATAAGGTATTGCTTGTAGTCTCGTTAATAAGAAAATAATCCGAGCCGATGGTTGTACGTGCACGAGAGGCCATCGAGTATACAGGGAAGATCCTTGAGCCCCGGGAGCAAGAAGCGAATAACAATAAAAGTTGCAAGGGAGAGAGCTTATAAATGTAAAATTTGTATATCGCGCGCCAACACCTCGTGCACTACACCTATATACACCGGGTCAGTCAGTCATTGTCTTGTTCACCGTGATAATAATGTGTTACAGGTAAAGCGTGTCCTTTGAACTGGAAACCCAGTGCCATTGATAAAACGGAATAAAATCAATCGTAATCGGTCATTGATTTTTTCATTCTCCTTGCACGACAGGGAGCTACAATTGGGGGTTGGTCTCGATCACCAAATTGACACGCGTACATGCTAGCACTTTCAGTTCTTGAAAGTTGCAAATCCAAAGACACTGCACCTAAGGATTCATTTCTTTATACATTACACCTTCAGGAGTATACATTCAGAGCAAATAATTTTCTTACGTATCATCGTGGAAGGCAAGAGTTCAAAGTTACCCCGTATATCCCCTGTACGAATCGCGATGAAAGTCGTACGCGTAACGCTCGCGTAACATAAAAATTACGAATTATTCGTGTGCCTTGCAATGACACTTGGATTACGCCACGGCATCCGCGCGAAGACCCAAACTAAACAGATTTCCATTCGTCATCGGTGCATATAATCTGTTTAAACGCGAACTGCGGTGTTATACCGTATACTGACCCTGACGACCGTACGTTCATTGTTATTATCATCATATCATCTACTTACAGCCATTGCAACGCTACAGCGAGATTTTTGGGGCTTCTCCGCGGACGTATACGTACATGTAAAAAAGAAACAATGTATACCTTATGCAAGTAGAAATGAGAACGCGGGGTCATTAAAAGGCTTACCGGTACATCACTGACCTGTACCTTTAAACGTATATTGCATCACATACTCTACGATATATGTATAGGTGCACGGATTATGCAGGCGATCGACTGTAGTGTGTATATACACTGACATCGGAAACAAAAAATCATACTTTGTTTTCGTGACGCTATTCGTATATATTAGTTGAATCGTTGAAGCTCGAGTTATTGCGAGAAATAACGAGGCAGAACAGAAATATTTCAGCAGCCATTACGTGTGGACAGAGTTTCAAGTTACGCCTTATAGTTATAGTGACTAAATGTATAGCTTGTGATGTGACCGCGTATCGCGCATCCCATTGCATGTACAGTGAACCGATTGTTCCGATCGTCTTGCAGACGCATTTATTGCAGGTATCGCGTTTGCTCGCGTGACTTGTCGCCTGTATTATATTGTGATACCGATACGAACCGTTGGCTCGATTTTTCTCATTCCAGCTCAGTCGGAGATCGAGTGACGATAAACATGCCCGTGTGCAAAATGTGTCGTTTATACTCTACGTGGATGGAAAAAAAAGGCACTGCAAGAGTATATACTATATATATATATAAAATATGCTATATGAAATCGGCTTACCTGCCAGCGTCCGGGAAGATGAGAGGAGCGTCGTGGAGAATGTCGCGCAGCAGCACAGTGGCCGGGGGCACGTGGGGTAGCAGGATGGGCGCGAATATACCGCAAACGCCGGCCCCACAGCCATGCCGTGCCTCGAACTTTCCCAAAAACACGATCAGGTAGCCAAGCAGTTTCAACTCCCAGATCGGCAACTCGTTCGCCAACAGGTCACGCGTCTTGTCGATCCAGCCCTCGTGATCGTTGCCGCGCTCGCCTGCACATTAACGTACAGGTAAATATACACCGTCGGTATAAATACACGCGATCGGTCATTGGATCCTTAGATGCATTGTTCCCTGCGGCTAAATTTACCGATACAAAAGTCGATTTTTGCGGCGTCGTGTTTGCGCGTAGTTTGTTTTTTTTTTCCTCGACTTTCGAAACGCAGAGATCGATCGCGCGAGGCTTGATCGATGGCTCGCGGTACAGTAACAGCGCATCATCGAGTGAACGGTTCGCAGAGCCGGTGAATTGTTTTTTTTTCCCCCTTTTCTTGTCATCGGGGAAAATTTTGCAAAGTGAAAGCGCGCGCGCGCACCTGCTCGTCCGTTTGGTGTGCACTGTTGGGGAGTTTGTTCACCCGAGCGGTAATTCTTTGTTTTGTCAGATGCATAGTTTCGCGGACATGTATAGCGTCGAGACACACGTGTGCGTACAATCAAACGCGGAAAAATCTTACGATCAACAAAATTTAATTAAAGATGCTTACCAATTTGTTGTTGATCATCATCGAAATAAATTGGTTACAGGTACTTCGTAAACAAGACGAAAAGCGTTTAAGTTGAAATAGTGACATTAAAATAATAGTCACTAATACTTTTCCCAAAGTCAATCGTACGCGTGGTGTATGTATAATTAGAACGGCGACGTAATCGATAAAACCATAAAAAATGTTGCAACGAGTCACATGCGCGCGATAACTTTACGCTCCTCCATGCAAACAAGTAGCGCAAACAGTGGAAAAAAATGTCACATCACATACCACGACGTCCTAATCCTAATAAAGAACGTCGGTGTTTTTGTATGCACAACTATAGGTAACCCCGAAGAACTTACCGACAATAGGGCGTGTCGAAAGAAGAAGAATAAAGCTCGTGAACCTGATGGGTTACAAATTAAGCGGAGCAAATATTTGGACGGACCGACACGGTTCGAGTCAATACGAGATTACATTGCCATATAATATAATACAGAAAGTACAGGTATGTAGTAATGATGTATAATAAAATAGGTACTGACGAGCATGTAGCTGCAGCAGCTTGGACACGCAGGTGGGCCCGACGATGGGCCTGGGCAGCTCCTTGAGGTACTGCCTGAGCAGGAGGGCCGCGGTGACCGGACACGCAGCCGCCTCGAGGTCAGCGTCGCCCCGTCGGTCGAACGCGAGGCGCAGCCGGTCGGCGAGCCTGGAACTGCCCGCGGGGAGCTTGAACAGGCTCGGGTTGTTAAAGCCGTGGGCCTCGAGGTAGCCGCAGAGCCGGTGAACGACTCGCGGCACGTCGCTCCCGCCTTGCCGCTCGACCAGCTCCAGCTCGATCCCGAAACTCGCCCGAGGCGACGAGCCGCTGTTACACCCGGACGCCGCATTGCTGCCGCGCCCGAGCAACACCCGCTTCACCCGAGCCAGCCGCGACTCGTCCTTTGGCTGCTGCTCTTGCTGAACCTCTTGCTCTATGATCGATTTCGTCGTCGTCGTCGTTGTTGTTTGCTGCTGTTGGGCTAGTGATTCCTGCTGGGGGCCTCTCATCCCACTCCGCCTGCACCGCGACCCGCTGCCGCACTGTGGGATCGTCATCATTTTTACTGGTTTTTTTTTTTTATTCAAACGTCGGTTGTATGTGTGTGGACGTGTGTTTTACCGATTTTTACTCGACCGGTCGTTATTCGAGATCGGATCAAACGAGCGCGCCATCGGGTATCGATTTATTAAAAATCAATAAAACATCGTAACGCGATACGGCCATATACATATACATATATAATGCGTTGCGAGGGGAAAAAAAGTTGTTTTTTTGTTCTTTCCCTCGTGTAGGGTATATCAATTGGTGTTACGCGCTGTGTGTGTTGAATGAAGTAATGCACGAAAGTGATTATATATTTTGTGGTTTATTTACGAGATGGAGATAAAAGGTACTCACGATACACTCTTTCGCGACTCTCCACAGGTTGAAGTGTGTCTGTGTCGAAGGTGAATAACGCCGGCACCGTATCGGCTCGCCAACCGATTTTGCCGATCGTCGTCCGACTTTGTTCCTTCCTCTTCGCACCTTTTCTCCCGACAACTCGCGCCTCGTCTCGTCTCACGAACCACTCCTCTTCACCCGAGTACGTAACAATATAATAATCGTATGTAATTTACAACAACGGAGGTGCTTACGATCGTGGCGATCGGTGCACCCGATTTTTTTTTTTCTATTCTTGTTTGTTTGTGCTCGTTGTTTCTTCCTCTTCTTCCTTCGAAAGAAACGTGCACCACCGAAATAAAAGCCAAAGGCGTGGAAAAATTCGTCCGCCGTTGTTGGAGAAGACAAAAAATAGAGTACACCCCTGATTTCCCGATCGACACGACAGGAGCGACGATCGAAAGTTGAGCGAAAAAAAAAAAAGAAGAAGAAACAAACAAACGGACGTAACAATAGAGAGCGAGAGAGAGAGAGAGAGAGCGAGTGCGGTTGATTTTTCGTGAGTCTATGGATTCATGTCTCGGTCGCGACACATGGCACGTTGGTTATTATAGGCACCTGCCTATGGCTGCTTGAGGAAGTGCGTCGAGACGAGCCGTAAAGTAAGCATGGGATGGCTCCCGGCTTTCAGCCCCCGGCTCTTATCAGCGCCTCACGATATCAGTCGCCACCCCTTTTTTCCTCCCCTTGCGCCGCTCCTCTTGCTAATCTTCTTCCTCTTCTTCTCTTTCTCGTCTCACTGGCCCCGATCCATGCATACTCTCTGTCGGCTCTTTGTGTCTGAAACACGCAATTTTTTTTTTAATCATTTCTTTTTTCTCTTTCCTCGTTAGAGAATTAGGCGTCACGAGAAAGCACGAGGAAGTTAAAAACATCTTTTTTCTTCTTTTTTTTTTTTTTAGCTTTTAATGACATCAAGTGACGTCTACACCTATAGCTGTTTGTTTTTATACACGTCAAATATCCTTGAATCATTTGTACAATTACATGTACTCGGTGCAAATACTTCATTATCAATTTTCGGCTACTCATAATACACAAAAATAAAAAATATATATGATTCATAAGTGCGGCACATTAATCAAAGTGCGACATTAATATTGACACTACAACAATACATTTTCGAGAGATTATTCATATTCGGCTTCGGATCGGATTTTTTTGCAAACACGCCCGATTCTCGTGCGTGAGTCACATTTATAATTATTTAACGCGATTGCACGTACATAAAGGCACGTGTGCAGGTAAAAAGAAAAAAAAAAAATTATTTCCAGTCAAATGATCACAAGGGTGTCATTACGTCTCACGGCGCTATTAAAATTATAAAATTTTTGTTTACGTTTTTTCAGTCATCATTTACACCGTTTAATATATTTTGCATGTATGTATATAAAGACACGTGAATGGTGTGCAGGATTGAATAAAATATACGCGCACCTACACGCGTGCAAGGAAAAACAATTGAGAAACGAAGTCGGGTAACTTATTTACTTACTATGCGTATAGAAAATTAAAGGGCTACGGCGAATAGTGCCAATGTAACGTACTACTATACATTAACATATTGTATGCAACCAAAAACCGTATCACACAATTTATCACTGGGTAATACGTACAAAAAAAAAAAAAAAAAAAAAAAAAAAAAAAAAAAAAAAAAAAAAAAAAAAAAA